CAACAACCCTAACTCAAGAGCTTTCGATACTTGATCGATCATACCATCTCCACCAACAGAAGGAACACTGCTCGTCTGTCTTTCCTCGCTCCCTTTTCTTTCTAGAAGAAGCCGTGCAACCACAATTGATATATTTGTTATCAGAAGCAGATAAAGTGGTCTGAAACATATGATGCTTCTAAAAATGCCCCAGCCCAGAAATGGGAATCCTGTGTATGACAAGAGCACTAAAATGGCAGCTGCTATGGAACAACAGATCCGAGTGTTCTCTGAAGCTGAAATTGCAGTACGTATTTCATTTGCTGTGCGCAAATTCTGACGGCTAGGTTGTCGGAGTCCACTGTCTGTGACAGGAGTTTGAATTGACGATGAAACTTGAAATGATTCTTCCTCGTTACCAAGCAAGACCGCTGCTCTGGAGCTTCCAACGTTTCCGTCATTGTCACTTTTGTGCATTAATAGCTTTTTTGGTAACGTGGGCAGTAGGGTACTGGACAATATTAAGAAAGAAAATGAGGTTAAAATCTCTACTTTTGTACTGTTTCGTCCTATCAAATATTGCATATCAGATTACCTTAAAGGTTCTACTTTATCCTCAGAGTTATTGAGCGGGTCAAATTGGTCATGAGAATCATGATTTGCTAACAAAGAACCAGAGACTCTCTCTTCATGCTGAAGGGAATCTGCATTGATAACAGTATTGAACAATTAGATATAAAAAGAACATTTACATATGGTATCGGGTAAAGAGAGACTTCTCAAACAAGCATTTGTTATTGCAACATTCTAGTTAGATGACAGTTACAGTGTTACGTACATGAGCTGACTAGTTAAAAATGTTAGGGTGTACTGAAACAAAGCTGTGTTGTATTCAGATGACAATATGATATATGTTTAGCAATTAATCACTTGACATTGAATGTATCAATAAAGGCAGTTCAGGGTATTCTTTTTTGACATTGTATCTGGCTTCTATCCGTAATATGGTTCACTGATAACCAGTGGTAAGATCTATCTCACTTCCTTGATACGCTCTCAAACTAAATATGAAAAAATGAACATGCCAATACAAACCAGACAAAAATAAATACTCCAATATACATTCGTATATGAAGTTAAGTTGCTGCCAGCATGGCCACTGGACTATGGCTGAAACACTTGAGCACATTTGCTTCTGAAAATCTCTTACTGCATATTTGCTAATCTGAATTTCTCATTTCAGTAAGATTATGCTTTTGAGGCAGAATGCACAAAGTGCTTATAATACCACAGGCCGAGCTTCAATTTAGTGATGTAGAACCCAGTGGAGTCATTACGATCTACCCCAATTTTCAAATTCATTGTTTATGATGGCTCATATTCCAATCTAGGCAACTTCAAGCAACAAGTAAAAGTAACCCTCCTCAGGTTTCAAAATCCGCAGCTAGAAAACCCTAAAAAGGAGTTTGCTTTAATAGACATCCTTAAGGCTGCCTTGGAAGGGAAGGATGCCCGAATTACTTATAAACCCACAAGTCAAGATTTAATTTAGCGACATCAGTGAAACAAATCAAATGATCTTAAAATAGCAATATAATGCTGTCAGACAGATTTCAGGGGTACTAAATATAAACTTTGCCTCTGGCCGGGAAAGTGCAGCATCAAGGAAGAATACTGGAATAACTAAAATAACTCAAGCTGATCGTGCTGTGGGAATTGCCTGAACTGATAACTTCACATTTTAATTGTGAATTTGATCTTAGCATATCATGCTCCATTTAGACTTAACTTCCTTCACTAGAAGGGTTATGAAAATTGCCCTCAAGATTATGCACTCAATCTCTTCATCAAATAAAATTTACTTAATTCACTTCAAGTCAGAAAGCAATGTATTATTTAACCACAAAAAATCCTAAACCAAATCGTCCAACAGAAATTCAAATTCATCAACAACACACACACGTAAATAGATGAAAATATTAGAAAAGGTAAATTTGGGGTTACCGGAGGACAATTGATCTTGTTGTTCTGGGGTGGAAGGTATGGAGTGGATACGGCCGGTAATGAGGGCTAACCGGTCAGATCCTCTATCAATAATTCGGCGTCGTCTGACTTCTCGATTGTAATTTATTCCTGTGGTGGCCATTGATTACCGGAGAAGAACTAATCTGCGAGTTGAATTTGTTACAAGGGAAAGTTGCAACATAGATATGATTTTTTATTT